CGTGGAAAGGTAGTGAAGGACTGTCGAACGTTTCAGAGAAAACGAAAGGTGGAGAAGTATCATCAGCAGGTAATGTCGTTGGCGTTTAGGCGTGGGACCCAAGAGTTGGTCCGAACGTGGGAACGGGTCGCGATTTGAAAATTTGCTGCACCGTCAGAGGATAGGCCGGAACATAGTCCAGAGTGAAGAGCGAATGTCCAGAAAATCGTAAGGAGTCAGTCGAGAGAGCCTCAGTACCTTAAGCGGGTGAGGCAAAACAGCACCGCAATAGGTGACAGAGCATGAGGAAAAGTCTGAAGAGTGGTCCAAAGACGAGGCGGGGTCGAACGGGTGCGCGTATCAAGAAGGGGCCCGGGGGGGTAGTGGCCTGTTTCCTAGGACAAGGGCTGCCATGTTAGGTACTTCTTTCTTTTTGTTATTTAAGAAAAAAAAAGAAAGAAGAAAATAAAACAATATAAAAAAAAAGATAAAAAAGGGAGGGGGCCGGGTGAGGGAAAGTTCCTAGGAGGAATGAAAGGGCCATCAATCTCCCTCCGCCAGCCCAAGAGACCTCAGCACACCTGCAATAGCGCGATGCAGCGATGGAACCCGTGCCATACCACTATCCATCATGCTAGTAAACTAACAATCCGGGATACAACCTCTCATCTGCCGAGCTACCTCGGTGGACAAAAAGAGGGCGGCCGGATATCGCCACAAAGCCATATCTCCTTCAGACATCCACCCCGCCCCGACTCCCGAAAGGAGTGGCTTTCAGAGATAACTCGTCGCCCGAAAGACACCAAAGCTACTCCGGGATACCCGGAGAGGGATCGTGACAATCCCCAGGCGATCCAGACTGTCGCACGGCAAACTACGCCACCTGCTAAGAACACTCAAACGAGAATGGGATGGACCCCGGTATCCTTTCCTCCCCCTACCTACGAACTACGCCGCCGCCTGTGGGAGAATCCACCCAAAGGACAAAAAGAAAAGGGCAAAAAGAGGGGTGGGGAGGAGGATGAGGAAAGGAAAAAGGGGAAGATGGGGAGGATGGGATAGGGGAGGGGGAGATTGGGGGGTAATTAGGTTCGGTCTGAGGAAAAAAGACCGATAGGTCTAATTCCTCAGACCAAGGCCTCTTCCCCACGCCAAGGAGCCCCCCTTGAAGAGGTACAAATGCATAAATTCAAGGATTATGTGGAGTAAAAAAAAGATTGGATGTGAAAAGTGGGTTATAGTAAGCGTGTACGCACCTGGAGAAAAAAGAAGTGTAGAGGAGAGAGAGAGATTCTGGGAAATGTTGAGTGAATGCGTGGGGAAGTTTTGAATCAAGTGTGGAGAGTAATGGTGGTTGGGGATTTCAATGCTAAAGGTGGGTAAAAATGTTATGGAGGGAGAAAGTAGGTAAATTTGGGTCCCAGGGTAATGTAAATGGGAGCTTTAATTGAGCTATGGTGTAGAAAGAAAATTTGGTAATAAGTATACATATTTTAGAAAAGAGGATAAATAAATATAACAAGGTAATGATGTAGCACGTAATGAAAGTGGGTTTGTTAGATTATGAAATTGGTGATAAAGGTGATGGGTAGGCTCCAGGATGACATGTTTATAGAGGGGCAACTGATATTCAGATCATTATTTTGTTGTAACTACAGTTAGGTAAGAGGTAATGGGAAAGAGGAAGGTGGCAACAACAAGTAAGGGAGGTGAAAGTGTATAACTAAGGAGGGGGAAGTTCAGGCAGATATAAACGATATTGGCAGAAAGGTGGACAAGTGAAGATGGATAGTGGGGGGGGGGGGTTTGAGAGGGTTGGAATTTTTTTAAAAAAATGCAGTATTAGAATGTGGGGGCAGAAGTTTGTGGTTATAGGAGGGTGGGGGCAGGAGGAAAGAGGAGTGATTGTGGAATGATGAAGTAAAGGGTGTGATAAAAGAAAAAAAGGTAGCTTACGAGAGGTTTTTACAAAGCAGAAGTGTTATAAGAAGAGCAGAGTATATGGAGAGTAAAAGAAAGGTGAAGAGAGTGGTGAGAGAGTGAAAAAGGAGAGCAGATGAAAGAGTGGGAGAGGCACTGTCAAAAAATTTTTAAATGAAAATAAGAAAAAATTTTGGAGTGAGTTAAACAAGTAAGAAAGCCTGGGGAAAGTAAGGTTTGTCCATTAAAAACAGAGTAGGGGAGTTAGATGGGGAGAGGGGGGTATTAGGTAGATGGCGAGAATATTTTGAGGAACTTTTAAATGTTGAGGAAGAAAGGGAGGCGGTAATTTCATGCACTGGCCAGGGAGGTATACCATCTTTTAGGAGTGAAGAAGAGCGAAATGTAAGTGTGGTGGAGGTACGCGAGGCATTACGTAGAATGAAAGGGGTAAAGCAGCTGGAACTGATGGGATCATGACAGAAATGTTAAAAACCCGGGGGGATATAGTGTTGGAGTGGTTGGTACTTTTGTTTAATAAATGTATGAAAGAGGGGAAGGTACCTAGGGATTGGCGGAGAGCATGTATAGTCCCCTTTTTATAAAGGGAAAGGGGATAAAAGAGATTGTAAAAAAATTTTAGTAGGAATAAGTTTAAATGAGTATACCAGGAAAAGTATATGGTAGAGTTATAATTGAAAGAATTAGAGGGAAGACAGAAGTAGAATTGCGGATGAGCAAGGAGGCTTCAGAGTGGGGAGGGGATGTGTAGATCAAGTGTTTACATTGAAGCATATATGTGAACAGTATTTAGATAAAGGTAGGGAAGTTTTATTTCATTTATGGATTTAGAAAGGCATATGATAGAGTGGATAGAGGGAGCAATTGGCAATGTTGCAGTTTATGGAATAGGTGGTAAGTTACTAAATGCTGTAAAGAGCTTTTATGAGGATAGTGAGGCTCAGGTTAGGGTGTGTAGAAGAGAGGGAGAATACTTCCCGGGAAAAAGTAGGTCTTAGACAGGGATGTGTAATGTCCCCCATGGTTGTTTAATATATTTATAGATGGGGTTGTAAAAGAAGTAAATGCTAGGGGGTTCGGGGGAGGGGTGGGATAATTATGGGAATCAAATTCAAAATGGGAATTTTACACAGTTACTTTTTGCAGATGATACTGTGCTTATGGGAGATTCTAAAGAAAAATTGCAAAGGTTAGTGGATGAGTTTGAGAATGTGTGTAAAAATAGAAAGTTGAAAGTGAACACAGAAAAGAGTAAAGTGATGAGGGTATCAAATGATTTTTGATAAAGAAAAATTGGATATCAAATTGGGGAGGAGGAGTATGGAAGAAGTGAATGTTTTCAGATACTAACGTGTCGGCGGATGGATTTATGAAGGATGAGGTTAATCATAGAATTGATGAGGGAAAAAGGAGTGGTGCGTTGAGGTATATGTGGAGTCAAAAAACGTTATCTATGGAGGCAAAGAAGGGAATGTATGAAAGTATAGTAGTACCAAAACTCTTATATGGATGTGAAGCTTGGGTGGTAAATGCAGCAGCGAGGAGACGGTTGGAGGGGTGGAGATGTCATGTTTAAGGGCAATGTGTGGTGTAAATATTATGCAGAAAAATTCGGAGTGTGGAAATTAAGAGAAGGTGGGGGAGTTAATAAAAGCATTAGTCAGAGGGGAGAAGAGGGGTTGTTGAGGTGGTTTGGTCCATTTAGAGAGAATGGATCAAAGTAGAATGACATGGAAAGCATATAAATCTATAGGGGAAGGAAAAAGGGTAGGGGTCGTCCTCGAAAGGGTTGGAAAGGGGTAAAGGAGGTTTTGTGGGGGAGGGGGTTGGACTTCCAGCAACCGTGCATGAGCGTGTTAGATAGGAGTGAATGGAGACGAATGATAATTGGGACCTGACGATCTGTTGGAGTGTGAGCAGGGTAATATTAGTGAAGGGATTCAGGGAAACCCCGTTATTTTCATATAGTCGGGCTTGAGTCCTGGAAATGGGAAGTACAATGCCTGCACTTTAAAGGAGGGGTTTGGGATATTGGCAGTTTGGAGGGATATGTTGTGTATCTTTATACGTATATGCTTCTAAACTGTTGTATTCTGAGCACCTCTGCAAAAGCAGTGATAATGTGTGAGTGTGGTGAAAGTGTTGAATGATGATGAAAGTATTTTCTTTTTGGGGATTTTCTTTCTTTTTTTGGGTCACCCTGCCTCGGTGGGAGACGGCCGACTTGTTGAAAAAAAAAAAAAAAAAAAAAAAAAATATCAGTGACACTAGTGCCAGAACAAAAAAAAAAAAAAAAAAATCAAATTCTGTTAATGGTAATATTTTTACATGCTGAATAAAATACAAACAAAAACAGTGATGTACAGTGAGTTCCTATCATCACTTGATAACTACATACAAGACTAAGAAAAGTACAGCTACTATCCTTGATAAAGCAATAAAAGTAAAAGTGCAAGCAATGTTTCAACAATACGTATTAACCTCTGGAAGCAATAATTCCACAACCATGCTTGTGAAAGCTTTTTGAATACAAGTCATCCTATAATTTTTATATTTACATAAAGGCACTGTATACCAGAGCAATACACCACAGCAGTAATCAAGTTACAGGAATGTTATACATTAGGAGATCGGGCAATACTAAAACTTTTGCCAGTACCAATACTTAATTTCAGATAGACAATGATGCCCACTGATACCATCAAAATTGGCTAATACCAATATTCATTTTTTTTTTTTAGCCTCATGTCGATACCATCAAAATTAGCCTAAACTAATACTTTGGCACATCCCTAATATATATGCTTACATTACAATTACCTTAATTACTGTATACACAAGATACATACCCCAATTTAGTAACGTGTGTCCTCAGCATGTTTATCTAGAATGCACATGTGGAAATTCCAGTATTGATCAGATGGTATTTACTTTTCTGAAACACCTCAATTAGGTAAAAGTCTATGTATACACTTCTAAGATAAAACAGAACTGTATACAGTACTCCGAGAAAATATATTTTTTTTACCTCTAAAAATTATTACACTCTTCCCATATTTAAAATTAACTACTACTGTATAATAAAAAATGTGACCAACATTCAATAATTGTGTGAGGGGCACATGTTACCAGAGGTACTGCATTCTTTGGTCACAGGACCATCATAGTAGTGCCTAGTCATTTCAGTATGTGCTACATGTTTATCTCACTCTTTCTTTCTCTCCTTTTCATCCTCTTTTTTCAGTCTCTCCTTTCCCTATAAATTCATCAATGGAACATACCTGGCAGACCATAAAAAAACCCTACCTGCCCTACATTTCTTGGAGATCATTTCATTGTCCACTGTAGTTCTGTCTGAACAATGCCAGTTTCATGGTGATTAAATATCATGTTTACAGTACCATCAACATTTTAATAATAAATTGTTGCATATACATATGATGGAAGTTAGGGCCTAGTTTGACTTCACATCAGGAAGCTGCTCCTTCATAACCTGAAATATAAAAAAATGTAAGAACTTTGTTAATATCAGGTCTGAGCGCTGATGATTTAAATATTACTAAACCAGAGATGATTTTAGTTGGTTTAGGACCAGAAGTAGTGTGAAACTGGCTAAAAATACTGTAAATATTTGATTTCTGATAATTTTCCTGAAGGATGGTAAACCTGCCCCCCCCCCTTCCCCCAGTCTGTTTTATGGGTTTTTACTAGGTCTGCTGCAATTATTGGGATACCTCACACCATGACCAATCATTCCTGGTTATATATTATCTGAGAAATAGGGTAAAACTTGTACATACTTTTTTTTTTTTTGTCATGAATTCAAAACTGAGTGCCAGGGTAATTTAGGAGATGCCCGAGGACATGATTAGCAAATAGAGGAAATGTTGCTTTAGTGGCTGGAATGCCTACAGTGTTTATTTTGGACCCTGTTTTTAAACTGCAAGCTCTTGAATACTTCTGATAGATGAATGGGCAGTGTCTTGTGCTCTATGGATAGAATGGAAGGCATACTGTGAAGTAACTAAGAATCTGGTTAAAATGAGCAATAGGATGTGCTTCAAAAAGACGAAGTAGGAAAAAATCTCCGAAGAATAATTGATCCCAGACCACCAAGTCTGCACCTATGTAATGATATAAGCTTTGGATGAGATGTCATATTTATTTGTCATTGCCTCCAGAAAAAGATTCTCTACCATTTCATAAAAAAATTATATGCAATTTTTTTTTAGCAACTCAGCCATCTCCCACCAAGGCAGGGTGACCCAAAAAGAAAGAAAATCCCCAAAAAGAAAATACTTTCATCATCATTCAACACTTTCACCTCACTTACACATAATCACTGTTTTTGCAGAGGTGCTCAGAATACAACAGTTTAGAAGCATATACATATAAAGATACACAACATATCCCTCCAAACTGCCAATATCCCAAACCCCTCCTTTAAAGTGCAAGCATTGTACTTCCCATTTCCAGGACTCAAGTCAGGCTATAAAAATAACCAGTTTCCCTGAATCCCTTAACTAAATATTACCCTGCTCACACTCCAACAGATCGTCAGGTCCCAAATACCATTCGTCTCCATTCACTCCTATCTAACACGCTGACGCACGCTTACTGGAAGTCCAAGCCTCTCGCCCACAAAACCTCCTTTACTCCCTCCCTCCAACCTTTTCAAGGACGACCCCTACAGATTTATATGCTCTCCATGTTATTCTATTTTGATCAATCTCTCTAAATGACCAAACCACCTCAACAACTCCTCTTCAGCCCTGACTAATACTTTTATTAACTCCACACCTCCTAATTTCCACACTCCGAATTTTCGGCATAATATTTACACCGCACATTGCCTTACACAGAACATCACCACCACCTCCAACTGCCTCCTAGCTGCAGCATTTACAACCCAAGCTTCACACCCATATAAGAGTGTTGGTACAACTATACTTTCATACATTCCCTTCTTTGCCTCCATAGATAACGTTTTTTTGTCTCCACATATACCTCAACGCACCACTCGCCTTTTTTCCTTCATCAATTCAATGATTAACCTCATCCTTCATAAATCCATCCGCTGACACGTCAACTCCCAAATATCTGAAAACATTCACTTCTTCCCTACTCCTCCTCCCCAATTTGATATCCAGTTTTTCTTTATCTAAATCATTTGATACCCTCATCACCTTACTCTTTTCTATGTTCACTTTCAACTTTCTACCTTTACACACTCCCAAACTCGTCCACTAACCTTTGAAATTTTTCTTTAGAATCTCCCATAAGCACAGTATCATCAGCAAAAAGTAACTGTCAATTCCCATTTTGTATTTGATTCCCCATAATTTAATCCCACCCCTCTCCCAAACACACTAGCATTTACTTCTTTTACAACCCCATCTATAAATATATTAAACAACCATGGTGACATTACACATCCCTGTCTAAGGTCTACTTTTACTGGGAAGTAGTCTCCCTCTCTTCTACACACCCTAACCTGAGCCATACTATCCTCGTAAAAACTCTTTACAGCATTTAGTAACTTACCACCTATTCCACATACTTGCAACATCTGCCACATTGCTCCTCTATCCACTCTATCACATGCCTTTTCTAAATCCATAAATGCAATAAAACCTTCCCTACCTTTATCTAAATACTGCTCACACATATATGGTTCAATGTAAACACTTGATCTACACATCCCCTACCCACTCTAAAACCTCCTTGCTCATCTGCAATCCTACATTCTGTCTTACCTCTAATTTTTTCAATAATAACCCTACCATACACTTTTCCTGGTATAATTTTTACAATCTCTTTTGTCCCCCTTCCCTTTATATAAAGGGACTATACATGCTTTCCACCAATCCCTAGGTACCTTCCCCTCTTTCATAGATTAAAAAAAATACGAACCACTCCAACACTATCCCCCCCCCTTTCTTCGTCGACATTTAAAAGCTCCTCAAAATATTCTCGCCATCTACCCAATACCTCCAGCTCCCAATCTATTAACTCCCCTACTCTGTTTTTAACTGACAAATCCATTCGTTCCCTTTCTTAACTTGTTTAACTCACTCCAAAATTTTTCCTCATTCTCATTAAAATTTCTTGACAGTGCCTCTCCCACTATCATCCGCTCTCCTTTTGCACTCTCTCACCACTCTCTTCACCTTTCTTTTACTCTCCATATACTACTCTTCTTATAACACTTCTGCTTTGTAAAAACCTTTCATAAGCTAACTTTTTCTCTTTTATCACACCCTTTACTTCATCATTCCACCAATCACTCCTCATTCCTCCTGCCCCCACCCTCCTATAACAACAAACTCCTGCCCCACATTCTAATACTGCATTTTTAAAACCATTCAACCATCTTCAACCCACCCTCCCTCACCCCCACTACTCATACTTGCACCAGCCCACCTTTCTGCCAATAGTTGTTTATATCTCACCCAAACTTCCTACTCCCTTAGTTTACACACTTTCACCTCCCTCTTACTTGATGTTGCCATTTTCCTCTTGTCCCATCTACCTCTTACTCTAACTGTAGCTACAACTAAATAATGATCCGATATATTAGTTGCCCCTCTATAAACGTGTACATCCTGGAGCCTACCCATCAACCTTTTATCCACCAATACATAATCTAACAGAGGCATATATAGGCATATCAAAAGAGGGGATGGTCAGTTAAGAAATCAATATATTCAATTAAAGAGAGAAATAAAGAAAGGAATAAGAAAAGCAAAGAGAGATTATGAGGCTAAGGTCGCAAGGGATTCAAAGACTAACCCAAATGGGTTCTTTCAGGTATACAGAAGTAAGATTAGGGACAAGATTGGCCCACTTAAGAGTAACTCTGGTCAGATCACTGACAGTGATAAGGATATGTGTGAAATTCTCAATACCTACTTCCTCTCAGTTTTCACCCAGGAAAATACTAGCGATAGTCCTGAAATAATAGATTATGTAGAACAGGATGATAATAAACAATGTACGATTGCAGTAACTAGTGACATGGTCCTCAGACAAATAGAGAAACTAAAACCTAACAAATCCCCAGGCCGTGATGAACTGTTTGCAAGGGTGTTAAAGGAATGTAAAGAGGAACTTAGCATACCTTAGGCTAATCTTTTTAACACATCACTACAAACTGGCCTAGTGCCTGATAAGTGGAAAATGGCAAATGTAATACCTATTTACAAGGCAAGTGACAGGTCCTTGACTTCGAACTATAGACCAATAAGCCTTACCTCAACAGTGGGAAAATTTATGGAATCAACAATTGCTGAAGCAATTCGTAGCCATCTTGACAGGCACAGATTAATCTCAACACGGTTTTACAAAGGGGCGTTCCTGTCTTACGAATTTACTAACTTTTTTCACTAAGGTGTTTGAGGAGGTAGATCATGGTAATGAATATGATATTGTGTATATGGACTTCAGTAAGGCTTTTGATAGATTTCCACACCAGAGGCTATTGAGGAAACTTAAGGCACACGGAATAGGAGGAGAAATTTTTTCCTGGGCAGAGGCATGGCTGACAAATAGACAGCAGAGTTTGCACAGATGGGGAGAAATCAGAATGGGGGCAAGTCACAAGCGGTGTTCCTCAGGGGTCAGTGTTGGGCCCGTTGTTGTTCACGATTTACATAAACGACATAGATGAGGGAATAATAGAGACATAAGCGAATTTGCTGATGACACCAAAATAGGCCGTCCAATTCATTCTAATGAGGACACTAGAGCACTCCAGGATGATTTGAATAGACTGATGCAATGGTCGGAGAAGTGGCAGATGCAGTTTAATATTGACAAATGCAAAGTTCTAAATGTTGGACAGTTAAATAACCATGCCACATATAAACTAAATAATGTAGATCTTAACACTACTGATTGCGAAAAGGATTTAGGAGTTCTGGTTAGCAGTAATCTAAAACCAAGACAACAGTGCATTAGTGTTTGCAATAAAGCTAACAGAATTCTTGGCTTCATATCTAGAAGTATAAATAATAGAAGTCCTCAGGTTGTTCTTCAATTCTATAGATCCATGGTTAGGCCTCATTTAGACTGTGCTGCTCAGTTCTGGTCACCGTAAAACAAAATGGATATAAATGCTCTGGAAAACGTACAGAGGATGACGACAAAGATGATCCCATGTATCAGAAATCTTCCCTATGAAAATAGACTGAGCGTCCTGAATCTGCACTCTCTCGAAAGGCGTAGAATTAGGGGGTATTTGATCGAGGTGTATCAATGGAAAACAGGAATAAATAAAGGGGATGTAAATAACGTGCTGAAAATTTCCAGCCAAGACAGGGCTCACAGCAATGGTTTCAAGTTGGAAAAATTCAGATTCAGGAAAAATATAGGAAAGCACTGGTTTGGTAATAGAGTTGTGGATGAGTGGAACAAACTCCCGAGTACAGTTATTCAGGCTAAAACGTTGTATAGTTTTAAAAATAGGTTAGATAAATACTACATGAGTGGGTG